TATATCTAGAACCTACATTTTGTAATTTGTACATAGCTTGTCCATGCCATATATCTAACCAATATTATAGGTGCTACACATATTCTGATAGAGAGCAGGGAGAGCAGGGGGCGGGGACAGGCTTGGGACCACCTCCGTGGGCTGGTTGTGGGATGAGATTATATTTTTATTTATTATTATAAAGTTTATGTTATGTTTTCTAGCTTGGGCCTATTATTAGTTGAGCCTAATTAGGGTTTATTTAATTTGGGTTCAATTAGGGTTTCTATCGAGTCTGTCATTAGAAGGTTATTTAAACCCCTTATATGATTCATTCTTGAGCATCTATGAATAAAATTGGAGTTTAGCCTTTTGGCTCTGCGCCACGATTTTTATCGTTGATTATTCTGGGCAAAGGATTATTCCGTTTTTTTTTTCTGTTTTCATCATATTCACTCCCAAAATACAACAGTAGAATGATTAGTTCAGATGGTAATCATGAGAGGAGTAGAGATTTCATTTTCTAAGTCATGAGAGAGATACTATACTTGACCTTAAAAAGTGATGCTACACCATATCAGTTTGAATATTTCCTATTTCATTATAATTTTCTAGATAGACAATTGTTTCTTTCAGCCTCACTTTTGGTACATATATCTAGTCTTTCCATCCCAGAGTCTAAGGGACATCTACTTTTAGCAGTGTTTAATGAAAAAGTTAAAAGGTAGCTAGGGTGAATTATGAAAAGTAAAAACTTAGTAGTGTTTAATTAGATATGTCCGAATTACTTTTAGAGAGGGAGAGACTAAAGAAGAAAACATGTAAAATAAATTGGGACAAAGGGAGTAACAGGCACCCTACAATAGTAAGTGGATAGATCTAGTTTAACAGTCTAAGGATGTTTTTACTTGGACTGTAATTGTCTGGTCTGGACTGGTCTGGTGTGGTCTGGTTTCTTTATATTTTTATAACTACCCAAGTCTGGTCTGGTCTGGTCTAGGACATATTACCGTCCAAGTAAAAACATCCTAAACCCAAATTTGTAGATAATTATATTCACACAGATCTGTGCCTTTTCAGCTTGGTGAAACAATCAGCCCAATGAAGGAGGATTTTATTATGGTTCACTTGCAACATGCGTGCAGTCATTGCTGCATTCTCATGGTATGTGGAACACGTTGGGTCTGCAATCAATGCAAAAACTTTCAGCTTTGTGACAAGTAAGGATGTGCATCCCTCTCGCTGTGTTTATCCTTGATCTTGTTGAACTGTTTCAGTTGTGCGTAATTTACTAAGCTGCAAGTATCTTTTGGTTTCTGGCATGTAAACATTTAACGATAAATGATGGCATAGGATTTATTTCACTAAAGGTATATCCTTTTCAAGATGTCAGAGTTTTAGAATAATAAACTGGTATGGTTTTATCAATATTATTAGGTGGGTTGTGGTCGTCTTCTTATTTGCATGAGAACATTTATTCCACCGTCTCCATTTATGGTAGACATTCTGGTATTACTTTGTCTGTACATATAATAACACAGGTGGTTTTGGTACTTTTTAGTTCATCAAATTTGCCCTTTTCATCTTATAATAATAATAATAATAATAATAATAATAATAATAATAATAATAATAATAATAATAATTGGGTTTTCATTCTGGATAAGGTATGTTAGTTTGCAATACCTGATAGAATGATCCCCCTGAAGTTCAATTTGCTGCTATTGTTTTGTGCTATTCTTTCTGAAGGTTATTGTTTGTCTTTTTTTTTTTTTTTTTTTTTTTGCTTCCAGGTGCTATGAAGCCGAGCAAAAACTTGATGACAGAGAGAGGCACCCTATCAATCAAAAAGACAAGCATACATTTTATCCGGTAAGCTATTCTGCTACTTAGTTGATTGAGATGACCTTAATGTATAGTTCATGAGTGGGAGTATAAGAGTTATGGATTTGAATGTGTAGGTTGATATCAATGATGTGTCTGCTGAGACAAAGGATGAAGATGATATTTTAGAGAGTGAGTTCTTTGATACAAGACAAGCATTTTTGAGCCTTTGCCAAGGAAACCACTACCAATACGATACCCTCCGCCGTGCTAAACATTCTTCGATGATGGTCCTATACCATCTTCACAATCCCACTGCTCCTGCATTTGTGACCACATGCAACATATGCCATCTTGATATTGAAACTGGTCAAGGCTGGCGATGTGAGGTTTGTCCAGAGTATGATGTTTGCAATGCTTGTTATCAGAAGGACGGTGGAGTCGATCATCCTCATAAGCTAACTAATTATCCATCCATTGCTGACCGCGATGCACAAAATAAGGAAGCTCGGCAGCTTCGCGTTCTTCAGGTATATTACTGACGATGTTTCAAACTCATAATGAGTGTTTCAAATTCTACTTCAACTTTGGTTCCTTTTGCTAGCTTGTTTATCTGTTAATTGTTATTAACTGTGAGCTGCATGCATGTTGACCAGTTGTCTTCTTGACATGCAAGGTCTGATGCGATTTTTTGTTTTGACTATGCAGCTTAGGAAAATGCTTGATCTTCTGGTGCATGCTTCTCGGTGTCGATCTGGACAGTGTCAGTATCCCAATTGTCGCAAGGTTAAGGGTCTCTTCCGGCATGCGATGCTATGCAAAAAGCGTGCTTCTGCAGGCTGCGTTCTCTGCAAGAAGATGTGGTATCTTCTTCAACTTCATGCACGGGCATGCAAAGATGCAGATTGCGCTGTGCCGCGGTGCAGGTCGTTGTCTAATCATGTCCCTCACAAACCTAGATGCCATTTCTTCCCTTTTCTTTTTTTCATATTTTAAACAACTACCATTATCCCAATCTGAAGAATAACTTTTTAAACGTATAAACATCCAACAGGGATTTGCGAGAACATCTAAGGAGGCTGCAACAGCAAGCTGAATCAAGGCGCCGGGCTGCTGTAATGGAGATGATGCGGCAAAATGCTTCTGAAGCTGCTGGGAGTTCAGTATAATCAAGTTGTTTAGCATAATCAGGTTGTACATAGTACAAGTATGTTGTCAGATTGTGAAGTACAAGCACTGATGACGGATAGAACTAGTCATGAAGGCTGTAGGACCAACTCCCACAGCACACGCATTCAAATCTGGTTGAGTATTGCTCCAAGTGGTTCTGTTTGTATTTTGTATGTTTTCTCCAGCTCCTATGCTGACAAGTCAGGGGTGGCTCACCGGTCCCTGGTGCGGATATAGATGCAAATGTTCCTCTCGGTATGCAAATACAGAACTGATTCTTTCATTTTATTCCCTTGTATATTCCCATCATTTGATGGCAAAATGTACCATAGTTTTCTCAATTCATGTTGTAGCATAGGGCGTGGGGTACTAGTGTTTTGAAGCTAGTGTAGCTGTCTGCCCATGGATAGAGTTATGGTTGAAAAGAAAAATACAAAGAAATATATCCACTCTCCTATTCATGGACCATGGGTGTGCCTCATTTAAGGACATTGCAGTAATAAGTTGTAATTTTATTTCCTTCTTTTGTGTTGCCTGTCTTTTTTGTCCCCAATTCCATGCTTTTTTGCCAATCTACACTGTTGTATGCTGAGGTTGTACAAGTTATTTATTTGATTAGAAGCACAACTTGTCAGTACAGTTTTGAAATCCACTGATTGCCTCCAACCCTGCATGAGGACACCTAAACCCCAACTAGTCATGAGTCATGACTCGTGAGTATGAATGGATGCGGGCTGGTTTTGATTCATTTCTGGTTTTGGTCATCAAATCAAGAGTTTTAATGGAACTGCGTTAGCTGGTGCTTGTTCTTGGCTCCAGTCCCTCACCCTCTACGCAAGACTGATTGATTTTTTTGGCACAGTGGTTCCAGTATCGGTTTTGGCCGAACAATTGAACATCATGTATTCATATCTATTTCTTCCAAATATTGATTTTTTTGGCACAGTGGTTCCAATATCGGTTTTGGCTGAACATCATATCTATTTCTTCCAAATCATATACCGGATTACAAGAAAAACTGAGCTGGTACCATTTTGGAGGAAGTGTGAGTGTTACTGTAGTCGGGGTTTTGGTTTGGACTTTGGGTGATTTGTGTAAGGTGTTAGAGACTATAACCGATCTCTATCCGTCGATCCAACCTTTCCGTACAATTCCGTACAAGTTTTTCCGTACAATTCTGTACAAGTGGGCCGTACGGATTCTATACAGTTGGGCCGTACATATTTTTTCTTTTCTTCGACTGAGCCTCCTAGTTGGATTATGGGTAGGTTTTACTCTCTATAAATACAATCTCTCTCCCATTGTAATTTTGTGTGGATCCAAAAATAACAATAAGATTCCTGACTTGGTAGCGCCCCTAGACGTAGTCATTCGTGGCGAACTCAGTTACCAAATATTGTGTGTTCTTCATTATTGTTTTTCGTGTGCGTGAATTAAATTCCTAACAATTTGCACTTCTGTTGGTTCAAAATCAGAATCAGATCCACCGCTAATTGCTCTGGCTTTGGTTCTCCCTCGGGCGTGTCCCAACAATGGGAAGAAGTTTGGAGTTTTCTAAGGGTTGGTTTGCAACTGCTTTTAAAAAAGCACTTCTCAATTTTGGCTTTAAAAAAGCACTTATTTTCCCAAACACTACAACTTTTATTTTTCTCGGCTTCCGCGTCAAAAGTGCTTTTACTTTTTCTATTACACAAAAAGCACTTATTTTATCAAGCACTACCCACTTTTACTTTTCAAAATCACTTTTTTCTCAAACACTATCAACTTTTATTTAATCACTTCTCCTATTTCATTAAAAAAAGCACTTTTTTAAAAGCAGAAACTGTTGCAAACAGACCCTAAATGGACGTGATGATCCAATTTGAATGTTCTCAACTTGAGAATGAATAGTCAACTACATTTAAAATGTTTTAAAAACGTCCAACGTATTTAACTTCATGAAGATAGATTCTTAGTGTCGTTAGTGATATGGGATACATTAAATAGCCAAAATGGATTTGGACATGTCAATTAACTCAACACATTTTGGGCAATATATTCGGAATTGGATTAGTACATGGACAGAGTTGGTGAAGGCTAAACAAACAATTCTTACATAACTCACATGTGATGATATTGCATACCAATAAATTATAGCCTCTAATAGTTGAACCAAAAAAAATACAAAATAGTGAAAATACTACTATGTTATTTTCAGGGTGTTTAAGCTTAACTAGGTTTTAAATGTTCCATGTTAAATGTGTGTTCAATACTAAATTCATGGAAACTTTCCTAAATGCACCTAAAGAAATCACATTCTCCTCAAAAATTGGATTGGCCAAAGTCCAAAAGCCAAGAGCAGGCCACTCATCGTTAAAACAGCAATACCACCTAAGGAACAACAAATGAAAAAACTTCAATAAGATTATAATTTATAAGCCTATTAAAAACTGACTAGACCCAAATTCAAGATTCATCATTCATAACAAAGAAAAAAAATGCGTACCATAACAAGGAATTGAAGAAAATCGTTCCAAGGAACACATGAATGCGCACTATCTAGCTTGGGTTTTGCACTTTTGCTAGAGGTACACGTTTTGTGTACACGTTTTGTGTACACATGTCTGTCCGTGACAGACAATTTGTCTGTGAAAGACAGACATGTGTACACAAAACGTGTACACAAAACGTGTATCTAAAGCATTTTTCATCTAGCTTTGCAATCCAATAAACATCGGGTAACTTTTACTTTAAAATCATTTTTCTTTTTATTAGAAAATGTAACAAAGAAGTACTCCCTCCGTTCTTTTTTATTAGTCCCCTTAGGGTTTGACACGAGATTTAATAATAAAGTAGTAGGGTAAGTATAGAGTGTGTATGGTAAATGATAAAGTAGGAAAGATGGTATATTAAAAAGAGTAAAGTGATGATAAAGTAAGAAAGAGAGTGTATTAAGAAGAGTAAGTGATTGTAAAGTAGGAAAGAAAAAGTAGTTTGTAAAAAGTAAGTGGGGTAAAAGTAATAAAAGTGAGAGTATTTTCTCAAAAACTTTCTCTAAAGGGAAAGGAGACAAATAAAAAAACGTCCCAAAAAGGAAAGAAGGACTAATAAAAAAGAACGGAGGGAGTATGAAACAATTATTTATCCTTCATAAAATGAACCGGAACAATTTGTGGTTTAAAGTAAAAAATAGTACAGTTGCAGCTTTGATCCTCCTTAACGGTTTCTCAAACATGCGTTAAAGAAATCTCCACAAAACATTCATAATGAGCACCAGTCAAAGGATAATTTGGCATCAAATAACTATAAAAAATCCGCATTTTAACCGTAAAAAAGGGTATTAAATATAAAATTTCATAATTAAGATAAATGGTGCCATGCTGCTCCCAATAGGGCTCCTTCGGGAGTGGTTGTGATTGCTTTCGGGAGCGGATCTAGCATGACATTCAAGGAGGGGCCAAAATTTAATTAAGTAGCGTATATTGTAAAAAAAAAGTGAAAATGTAGTAAATTAATATGTATTTAACAAAATTATTTTCAGATATAAATAAAAAATGTTGCAAGAAATTTGTCAAAGAAATAAATAAATATTACAAGAATAATTTTTTTGTCAAAGTCAAATAGAAAAAAACATGTACCATGAATATAAAAATTGGATGTAAAGTTGTAAACATGAATATAAAAATTAGATGTAAACATGAATATAAAAAATAAATAATTATTCTTTAGGAGTTTTTATACACTGATATTGGCAAATTAAATGTAAACATGAATATAAAAATGAAAAATATTAATTAATTTTTGAGGCTATTGAAAATTTTAAAACACCATGCTCTCCCCATCGAAAAATTTAAAGAAGCCATGATAATCTCCACGGGTGGTTGAACTAGGACATGCAAGTAGGGTTGTAAACGAATCAAATAATTTATGCTCAATTTGCTATTCGAATTTACATAAGGCTATTCGAATTCAAAAAATTCAAATAAAAATACAAATAAGAATACTAAATTTGATTCGAATTGTTATCAAATAAAAATAAGAATATCAGTGTATTCGATTCGAATGTTAATCAAATATATTCGATAAATATGGTGAAAATATTAATAATAATAGTAATAATAATAGTGATAAAATTATAATAATTATTAAAATATATATAGCTATACTCGAAAAGTGTAGCCTTTTTTAAAAAATATTCGTAAAAAACAGGAGAAGAGAGGACTAGGTCAAAACCTCTCCCAGGAAGGCATACCTCCCAGAATACAATTAACAGGATGAAAAGTACGGAGTAAAACAAAAATTATTGGAGGGACCAAACCTGACCCAATAAAAATACATCAGACAAAAATCAAACAAAAGAAGTAAAAACTAAATAGAGCCCAAGAAATTAAATCCTGATAGAAGGAAATCCAAATTTATCCATATGGTAAGCCTTTTTTACAGAGCCCGGAAGTTCATTGGCCCGATTAAAAATTAATAAACAGACTGAAACCTGGCTAAATTATTGGCAGCCCAGTTAGCTTTTCTTCAAACATGTCTGAAGGAGACCAGTTTCCTATTTGAGATAAGTAACATTTCCTGAACCGAGATCCTCCATCTCCCCGATCGTTCATCAACAACATACCTTAAAGCAACCTCAGAATCTACCTCCACCTGAAAATGACTAAACCCGATATCCATGGACCATCGTGTAGCAAAGATCAAAGCTTTAATTTCTGCATCCAGAGTCGAATCAGCCTGCATACATTTATTTATGTATACAAATTCCAAGCCTACTTGTAATAAATTAAAGATATCATACGGAGTAAGGGTTTTAAATGAAATAAATAATTTTAATCTGATTCATGATTTGGATTAAAAAATTAAGATTTAAATTTGAAAATATATAATATAAATACAAATACAAATCAACTTTTTGGTTCACATATCTTTCAAATACGAATACAAATAATTATGTATTCAATTCAAAGAATAATCAAATATATTTGTTTATCCAACAAACATTCAAGCTTTAATACCAAAAGAATTCGGGGTCGGCTAACATCCAAGCCTTAATCACATATATTCGTTTATATATACAAAATCAACTGCCTAATATGCATGTGCCCAGGGACGGATCCAGGATTTCGAGTTAAGGGGGCGAATTTTTTTCATTAGTGTAGGGAGTGAAAAAAATTTCGCTGTTAAGCGGGACAGGAAAAAATTTGTCAGTGTAGCGGGGCAAAAATTTTTCGCTAGTGTAGGCCTCTGCGGCTAATTTTTATTCAAAGAGTTCCATTAGTACATACTAAATACACGATGACATATTGACATTTATATCTATTATTATATTCTAATTCTAATTTTAGACAATGAAAAGATAACTTTGATTTAATAACTATAAGTGCTCTAGAAAAACGTATTGATACATTAAAGCTTAACAAATGACAAATCAAAGGAAAGTTATTTGAAAATAAGAAGGGACATATAACATTTTATGATATTATATGAAGATAATGAGGTTAAAATTAAAGGTACACATCAACCAATGCTTTTTAAATTAAAGGTTGAAAAATGTTGAGACTAAAACATGAACTATTCACGCACATTTCTTAAATTAAAACTTAAATCTAAATGTTGCTGTTTAGGTGTGATAGCAGGACGGATCTAGGATTTCGAGTCAAGTGGGGTGAATCTTTTTCACTAGTGTCGCGGGGTGATTTTTTCACTAGATAGGGCCCCACAACTATTTTTTATTCAAAAAAAGTCATTAATACATACACAGCGGCATTTAAATTTATTACATTCTAAGTTTAGAGAATGGATAAATTATTTTAATATTATAATTGAAGTGCTCTAGAAAAAAGTATTGATACATTAAATCGTAAGAAATGACAAATCAAAGGAAAGTTATTTGAAATTTTAAAATGATATATAACATTTTATCAAATTATTTGAAGATAAAGAGTTTAAAAGGTTTACCTCCGCCAATACTTTTTAAGTAACTTCTTCCTTGTTTAACCACAAGAATGTTATCGGAATATAAAATTGGCTTTTGAATTGCAATTTTTTATCTACCAATTAGGGTGTTCGTGAGTCACGAAAAATCTTTTTAATATTACAATAGTATGTATGAGATTATTTATATTTAGAATAATATCATAATGCTAATTCATAAAGATGATGTGTATTAATGCTAAAATAAGTTAATGTTATTATCTGTGCAATAAATTGTTTTTAGAAGGTAAAAAGTAAATGAATTGTGTAATTTAATGTCAACAAAAAATTATTTTTTGAATTTACTTCACACGGTCTAAAAAATTTAAGGTAAAAAGTAAATGAATTGTGTATGTAATATCATTTGATATTTTACAAAATCGAGTACTAAATATCTATGAAAAATAATTAAAATTACAAAACTACGTAGTAAGTGTTTTTATATAATAAGTATCTTAAATAATGAGTTGTTCTATAGTTACAATGTTTAAGTAAGGTATAAGGGTCAAATTGGACACTATGGTTACATGTGAATATATATTGGACACTAAAGTTTCAAATGAACCAAATTAGATACTATGGTTACATGCGTATTTCATATTGGACACTAAAATTTCAAATGAATCACTTATAACGTTTTTGTGATCATTCATTCATTCTTGAGCACCTACAAAAGATTTCACATTTGAAAGCTATAACTCCTATAAGTATTTCTTTTATGGATCACTTATAACGGAAGACTTAGGGAGTGTTTTCAATCACTTAAAAAAAAGCATTTCTCATCTTTTGGCTTAAAAAAATACTTATTTACCAAACACTACCAATTTTTACTTTTTCTCGGCTTGCGTGTGAAAAGTGCTTTTCTTCTTTCTATTACACAAAAAACACTTATTTTACCAAACACTATCAACTTTTACTTTTCAAAATCACTTTTTTCTCAAACACTATCAACTTTTCCTACTAATCACTTTTTCCTTACATCTCCAAAAGTGCTTTTTTTAAGCAGAAGTATTTGCAAACACTCTCTTAAGGAGTGTTTGCACTTCCTTAAAAAAAGTGCTTTTGAGCTTTTGGATTAAAAAAAGCTGAAAAGAGTGTTTTCAAATGACAGCTTCTGCTTAAATTAATCACTTTAAAGCTAAAAGCTGGAAGCAGGTGGAAGGGTGCTTTAAACTGCTTTTCACTTTTTCTATTACTTAAAAAGCACTTATTTTACCAAACACTACCAACTTTTACTTTTTCAGAATCACTTTTTTCTCAAACACTACCAACTTTTACTATTAAGTACTTTCTCCAAAATCACTTTAAAACATCACTTTTTTAAAGTAGAAGCAATCCCAAACACTCCCTTAGTCAATGACCGTGTCTATTTTAGGCCCAAATCAGTACGAGTATTATATTTTGTCCGCATTAATCAGTCACGCTAAGCCCTATAATTAGCTACTGGGTTTGCTCAACAAATTTAGAAAGTTCTATTCTGGCACGTATCAACGACAATCTTCATGTCCAGCCGGTCTGACGAGAACCGCTGTCCATCCAAGGGTGTTTCGGGCTCTTCCTGGTGGAATATTTTGATGAATTTTTTTGGGAATGTTATTTATCAAGTCTAGTTTATCCATACCAAATTTCAGCTAAAATTTTAATTGGGAAGGCAGTCAAATAAGCTTTTGAAAACCACTGCGCAATTTATGCATATTTGACTGCGCAGTTTTCTTAAATAACTTATTTTACTACCTTCCTGATTGAGATTTTAGCTAAAATTTGGTATGGATAAACTAGACTTGATGAAGAACATGCTTAAAAAACTCATCAAAAAAAATTCAACCGGGAAGAGCACGAAACAGTCTTGGCCGGACGGCGGTTCCCCGTCAGGCCGACTCGACAAGAAGACTACCTATATCAACTACAAAGATAATGTGGTTATGTGAGGTACGCAGTGACCTATTTATTTAAGCACGACTTTGCTCATAACAAAAAGTCAAAAAGTCTTTGAAAATGATAAATCTTTTGACATTTTCATGACAGTTTGACAATTCACCATTTGTCCATTTAAACATCATATTCTCTTTCATTTTCATGAACAAGAATGATCAATATTCTTATTTCAAATGTGTTTGGTGATCCTACTTTTTAGTTTTAGAAATAAACTTTTTCGTCAAACACATAATTTTTTATTTCACTCGCCGAATTGGCATTTTTTATTACAAAAAATGTCATCCTATTTTCCGATAAATCGAAATACACATTTGTGTTTCACATATATAATGCACATTTCTAAAATATAACACACCAGATTCATTTTCATTTATCACCCCCTCCTTCCAAATTAGTCCTTGAGAATTACCGCCATTGCGTGCTTGCATCCTCTATGTGTCTGCTACTCATGCAAATAATTTCTAGTGTGCTTATTTTCATAAATAATTCAAAATATGATTAAAATAAGGATAAAGTTCATCACTATTATGATTTTATTCTCAAAATATAATTCATCCACTCATATTTTGGAAAGTTTTAATCGACTTATTCCCTAAATTAGTATTTCCTCCGTTCCATAAACCATGGTCATTATTAACATTTCTTGATCAATGTTGTCGAGTTTCACCAATGATGTTTTTAATATTAAATTATTGTAAATATGTAAATTGTATGGAAATGTTCTTTTCATAAAAATGTTACTCCCTCCGTCCCGTTAGAAGGTTCCCACTTTCTTTTTTTTGGACGTCTCATTAGAATGTTCTCATTTCCATTTTAGGAAACAATTAACAATCTTAAGTGACAAATTAGTTATTAAATATTAAAAATAACACATTTATAACATCACAATTATCAATACTAACACATTATAATATATACCTATTAAAATTATTTCTCAAAATATACCCGAAGTACTTTATTTAATTATCATCTAAATAACCGTGTCATTTTGCTATGGGAACCTTCTGGCGGGACGGAGGTACTACTTGTTAAAAATATTTTCATAAAATATAGAAATTATAAGTTTCACGCATATAGGGATTAGGGAGTATAATAAGTAAAGTCATTGTCTGAAGTTCATTACTCATATCATTAACCAATCAAATTAACTAAATTTTGTGGCCGTACTTCTTATTTTTTTTTACTTATGGTTGAACAATTTATGTAACTATAAATAGATTGAAGTAGAAGGATAGATATACTCATCAACATATACGAAATCTACCACAACCTTAAAACCAATATATGGCTGCTCAGTCTTGTTCAACTCCAGGAAAGGAAGCAGATGTGGCAGTGGTGATGGTGCCTCTTCCGGCACAGGGCCATCTCAACCAGCTCCTCCACCTCTCCCGCCTCATCTCCGCCCGCGGCTTCCCCGTACACTACGTCGGATCCTCCACCCACATCCGCCAGGCCACGACCCGGGTTCACGGTTGGGACCCACACAATACACCCAACCTTCATTTCCACGCCTTCCCCCTGCCGCCGCAATTCGAATCACATCAGCCGCCGGCTCTAGCCACCGCCGCCTCCACCAAATTCCCCTCCCATCTGTTCCCGGTGTTCGAGGCGACAGAACAGCATCTCCGGCAGCCCATCGCTGATCTAGTCAGTGACATCGCCGCCGCCAAAAAACGAGTGGCTGTCATCGCCGACGAGCTTATGGGTTGGGTGGTACCTTCTGTCATTCAAAAGACAGAGGTCTATCGTTTCCGTTGCGTTTCAGCCTTCTGCACTTATTCCTACCATTGGGAAGCTGCCGGAAAACCTGTGGTCGGAAAAGATGCTGATCAGCTGCTGAGTTTCCTGCCGTCCGGCGAAGGCTGTTTCCCGCCTGAGTATTTAAAATCAGTCAAATTACAGAGACGATATTGGAAGGAAATCTCAGGGGATATTGTGAATTCCAATCGAGAAATAGAAGCCCCGTTTCTCGATCTTCTCCGCGGTGTATCAAAGGGACTTCAATGGGCGGTTGGTCCATTCAATCCCATTTCTTTCAGCAACGAAATAGACCCCAAGAATCGTCACAAATCCCTGCAATGGCTGGATAATCAGGAAAAAGACTCTGTTTTGTTTGTATCCTTTGGAACAACAACCCCACTTTCCAGGGACCAAATAACAGAGCTAGCCATAGGCCTGGAACAGAGCATGCAGAAATTCATTTGGGTGCTGAGAGACAGAGACAGAGGAGACCTTTCCGACGGCGGCGACGCCGTCAGAGCGGATTTGCCCGATGGGTACGAGGAAAGAACGCGGGAAAGAGGTCTGGTGGTCCGGGACTGGGCCCCGCAGCTGGAGATTCTCGGCCACGCGTCGACCGGAGGGTTCTTGAGCCATTGCGGGTGGAATTCGTGCATGGAGAGTATTTCCATGGGAGTGCCGGTGGCGGCCTGGCCGATGCACTCCGACCAGCCGAGGAATGCCACTCTGATAACGCGCGGTCTGAAGGTCGGGATCAGCTTAATGGACTGGGACCGGCGGGATGAAATAGTGAACCGGGAAGGAGTTGCGGAAGGAGTGAAGAAGCTAATGGCGTCAAAAGCGGGAGAGGAAGTGAGGCAGAACGCTGTGAAGCTGAGTGAGAGTCTGAAAGTGTCAATCAGTTCCGGTGCCGGCCGAACGGAATTTGAGTCCTTCATAAGTCACATCACGAGAGATTCCGGTGGCCCGCTAGTCGAATCTAATCCAACCGCTATATGTTCCGCCATTTAAGAGCCCGTTTGGAGAACTCTGTTTTCGGCTTATCAGGCTTATCAGCCAGCTTTTTCACCAAACACGTAACTTTTACTTTCGCGCGCTGAATTGTGTAATAAGCCGAAAAAGTAAGGTTGGAGTTACTTTTCTGGCTGTATTGGCTGAAGTTACTGTAGAGGACCATTTTAGCTATTTTTACATATAATTTTTTCTTTAATTTATTAATAAAATATATTTTTAAAATATTTTTTTCTTAAATCAGCAGAATCAGCCAAAACAGCCACTCCAGCCAGAATATCATAAATTTCAACAGAATCAGCCAAAACAGCCGATTTTGGTGCTACCAAACGGGCTCTAAATATGGAATATATACTAAAAATGGTTTTGAAATTCTAAAATAGAGGTTTTTGTAGGTTAATAGGAATAATTAACGTACAGTTGTGAAAATATTGTCATGTGTGTATGTCTAGTAAAGTCAAAAATATGATAATAATTACTCTAATTTAGAAAATAAAAAACAACAATTCTATTTTAGAATTTAAAAATACTTTTACGCTTATTTGTGCCCAACTTGAGGTTTGGGTTGTTGGCAGTGTCAATACCAGATGAGTAGAAAAGTAATAAAACAAAGGGAAAAATAATTAAAATACCCCAAACTTTGAAGGGGTGTGAGATAAACACCCCAAACTTTCATATGTAATTTAAATACCCCAAACTTTATATAAAAAGTTATTTTAACTCCATGGTCATGTATTATTTCAAAAATTTATGATATTAATTGCATTAATTAAAATAGCAAATTGAACACATTGCAATTTTATAGAGTTTTAGGGGGGGTGATACTATTTATTTTACAATAAAGTTTAGAATGCTATTTGTATCTTCATGAATGCCAAGATGTTTTAAATTATGAAATTAACACCATTTATTAACATTTTTGAAAAAAAATAATACAAGATCATGGTGCTAAAATAACTTTTTATATAAAGTTTGGGATATTTAAATTACATATGCAAGTTTGGGGTGCTTACCTCACACCCCTTCAAAGTTTGGGGTATTTTAATTATTTTTCCCTAAAACAAATATTGTATTTTACATTATAAATCAAATACTCGAATCTTGAGGAAGGAAAAACTACCAAAAAATAACAAACTCAAACAATATGATACTCAAACGGGAAGATTGAATTAGTATTGATTAATGTTGGTTGATTTTGTATTAATAAAGATTTCCATTCTTGGTGAGAATGTATCCAGATTTGTAGGAATTGCATATGTCACATACATGTTTGGATGGAAGAAAAGAGTCACCGAAGTCTCACAAAACCATTCCAATTAAAATAGATGCAGTTCTGAGTAAAAACCATTCCAAAAAAAAAGTTGAAGGCTATCACTTTAGTTTGCGGCGTGTGGAAACGAGGATAGATCATAGATGCGCTTGTCAAGAATCTGGAGAAAGGAATGAGGAGAAGGGACAAGAAGAGCACAAGAATAAAAAAAGGATGACATTCTATCCTAAGCCCCCAGCACGGTCCGGATAGTTAACCGGAAGGATGTAACTTGCACTTAAATAAAAAAAATGATAGATAACGAGTGAAGCTCTGACTCAAATACTTGTAGGGGAGAGAAGAAGAATAAAAGAGAGAAGAATGAAGGGAGGGGAATGGAGGAGAGAATGGAGGAGAAGATTCTAAGACATCTAGCAATTGATATTTTGCAAGGGTGAGATATATGCACATTATAAAAAGGGAATGTTCTTTTTCATGGCATGCACACATATTTATGTGTGTATATAATAAATCATAAATTTTTTGGCCTTATAATATACTTGTACGTAGTATTAATATTTACGTAGTATATTTGAATGAGTGAATGACGAATTATCAATGTCTTTTATATATATAACATTTTAATTTATATATTCTATTATTAATATAAATAGATTCACTATTCAAGGCCACATGTTTTTTTCTTAATTTTTGAAATTGTTAGCGTATTGTGACTTTTATTTAATATATTAGTTTTTAATAATTATTTAGAGAATAACTTTAATTAATTAGGTTGCGGCGGGGCGGGGTATAGGTCGACAAGTTTGGACCCGTGTGAGTCGTGGGGCGGAGCGGGTCCACCCAATGAAGTCACGGGGCAGGTCTAGGCCTTGCAGTACGTACCCGCCCTGATCCGACCCATTGCCATGCCTAGTATGCATAAGCCTTAGTCGTTATGAATATTTTGTTACACTACTTCAACTATGTACAACCACACAATCACAAAAAGCATTCTCCACTGATTCCTCACCATCACCACACAGCCTACATGTCGTTAAAATGTGTACCCCATTTATTAAGATTTGATAAAGTAAGAAGTGACCAGTCCATAAGTTGGCAAAAAAATAAGGTTAAAGGGTTAAATAGGCCCTTGAACTGACTTAAAGTGTTCAATTGGTCCCTTATATGGGAGGTTCTGTCCGGCCGTCTCTAATTGTGGTGGTTCCCGGTGAAACTTTTTGATGAATTTTTTTGAGAATCTTCTACATTAAGTCTAGTTTACTCATACCAAATTTCAGCAAAAAATTCAACCGGAAGGCAGTCAAATGATTTTTTGAAGGTAACTGTGAAGTTAAACAACGCAGTACAATTCGGAAAATCATTTGACTGCCTTCTCGGTTGAATTTTTAGCTGAACTTTGGTATGGATAAATTAGACTTAATGAAGAAGATGCTCAAAAAATTTCATCAAAAAATTCCACCAGGAACCGCCCCAATTAGCGACGGCCGGGAAGAACCTCCTATATAAGGGGCTAATTGAACACTTTAAGTCAGTTCAAGAGCCTATTTGACCCTTTAGCCAAAAAATAATTAGTCTTCGGTGAGATTTTAAAAGCCCACATTTCTGTCCATTTATTCCAGGTTCCTACTATCACGGACCCTACTAATAATATATGGAAACTCTTGAACGAAAAAAGACCATTACCTTCGCCCACCCACCAGGCTCGGTCCTGACATTTTATGGGCCCGGGACAATACATAAAAAGTAGGCCTTGCGAACAACGTGAGAATGTTTATAATTTGAAATAATTACATAAATATGATCAAAATAAAGTTGATTTACAAAAATATGACTAGTTACTAGAGTAGTAATGAAATCATAGTAATTCATGTTTACTTTTTAAACTTAAGTTACTACAACACTACGCTGTAGTAATGAATAGTCATATTTATGTAAATAAGTTTTGTTTTAGTAATATTCTTATAAAAAACCCTTATAATTTTTTTATAAAAAAATGTACGTGAAATTAAGTAGTGCAATTGTTACTTGGAATATAGAATTTTGAATTAGTGAAAGACGTGAAAGTTATGTCATTTATGGAGTAATGTTTTCATATTTTAAATCATGTTTTCACTAGATCAGAACAAACTACAAGATTCTAAATTCTGAATATTATAATTCAGTCTTTCACTTACATGAGAGAGCCAAAAGAAATTAGCAAAATCATATCAATGAATCACAGAATTACATGAGAGAAGTAAATGGAAAGATTGACATTTATGCGCTAACCCTTAATGAATCCAAAGTAATGATGAATTTTATTCCCAATTAATTATGGTGTGGATGATACAAAACTTTAGACTTGTATCTTGTAAATGTTATTGAATAAAGAATTGAAAGTATCAAAAAAATTATAAGTTTTATTTCATTTTAAATTTTTATAAATAAAATAATGTATATAAATTTAAAATACATATGTATATGTGTGTGTGTGTGTGTGTGTGTGTGTGTGTGTGTGTGTGTGTGTGTATATATATATATATATATGTAATTGGGAAATTTATGGGCCCTAAGGGAGCAATGGGTCCTGGGCGCATGCCCCTTTGCCCATGCCCCAGGACCGGCCCTGTCACCCACCACAAGTTGTCTGCCCTTCATGTGAACTGATTAAATGCTAAGAATCTTCTTACATTCCTCCTGCGAAAACAAAGATGTTACCCT